AGTTTCAACAGAGTTCATAAGCATATTAAGTAACTCAAAGTGTTCCACTCCTAACATCGATAGAGTGCATAAAGTCCAATAGAGTTAATAATCGAACTAAAGTAACTCCAAGTGATCTCCTTAATGTTAACAGAGTTCATAATCATTTAAATACTCTGGTGCCCTCCTTTCCCTAGTTGGCCTCAGGGGTAATGCTGGAACCTCTGACTCGGCAGTTCCACCTGTAACGCTGTCTCCTGTGCTTTGTTGGTCTGGTCCATCGCTTGCCTTCAGGTACTTCTTCACCTCAGTTACATTTCTCTTGTAGTTAACTCCTTCAGGTAATGTAACTGTGACTTCGTTGCCATATTTATTGGTGACCTTGTGAGGTGCATCCTCGAAAGTGGTTGACAGCTTATTTTCCTTCCTTTGTTTCACCAGCACTTGATCGCCAGGAGCTAGACTGTTCTGCTGCACTCCCCTTCGTTCATCGGCATAGTCGGTTCTCCTCTGTTTCATTTCTGCGTCTCAGTCTCGTGCTTCACTGTCAATGTATTCACACTTTGTCAGCTCAGGGATCTTTGACCGTATCTCTCTGTTAAACAACAATTTGGCTGGAGAGACTCCAGTGCTGTTATGAGGTGTGGTCCTGTATGCTGTTAGGAACTTCCTCATCTCTACCTTTAAGTCCTTCTTTTCTGCTTGGGCAATCTTCAAGGTTTTGAATAGACTTCTGTTTTGGCGTTCTACCTCCCCGTTTGCTTGGGGCCACAAAGGCGTGGAGGTTCTATGCTGTATGCTGTTTGTTTTAAAAAATGTTCCAAATTCCTCTGACGTGAATTGTGGTCCATTATCTGTTTTTAGCGACTGCGGGAGACCGTGCGTACAGAATGTTCTCTCCAGGCTTCCTATAATGGTGGCAGATGTTACAGACTTGAGGATGCCTACTTCAAAGTAACGACTATAGTAGTCTACGACGACGAATACATACTCTCCGGAAGGTAGGGGCCCCATCAAATCTGCTGCTAGATCTTGCCAGGGCTGACTGGGGAACTCAGTATGTTTGAAGGGTTCCGGTGGTGTGGGCAAACCAACTAACTGGCAGCCATGGCAGGTCTTGCATTTTGCTTCAACTTGTCTATCAATTCCAGCCCACCAGACCTTGCTGCGGAGTCTCTGTTTTGTCTTTGTCAACCCCTGATGTCTTTCGTGTGCCAGATCTACCACTCTGTCGCGTAATTTTGCTGGAATAAGCAATCTTGTTCCTCTTAGGACTAGCTTGCCTAGAATGGAAAGTTCACTTCTTACGGATTTATACTGTGGTGGGGCATTGTCCCATTCTCCTGCTGTGATGCATTCTCTTAACTGTGACATTTCTGGGTCGAGCCATGACTCTTCTTCAACCTCCTGCACAGACATAGCTGCTGGCGTTGACGTTTCTGCCACAAACCGGATAAATTCTTCTGCATCGTCATTCATGCATACCCCTTTTCCTTTTCCAAGACGTGGAAGTGGGTCAGCAATGTTTTGTTTACCAGGTATACTCTGCACCTTGAACCTGTATGGCTGCAGTCTCAGGACCCAGCATTCTATCCTTGTTGAATTGCGGGAATTAGTAGAGTAGATAACCTCAAGGGGCTTGTGGTCAGTCAGCAGGGTGAATTCCACTCCATACAGGTACACGTGAAATCTCTTGCAACCCCAGACAAGTCCGAGTGCCTCGTTCTCTGTCTGAGAGTACCTACACTCAACATCTGTTAGACTACGGCTAGCGTATGCGACTACTCGTTCGCATCCTCCTGGAACTTGTGTAAGGACCGCTCCTAAACCCACAGGGCTAGCATCTGTGATAAGTTTGGTTTCTTCTGCATTGCTGTCGAAATATGCCAGGGTTTCTGCATTTGCCAAGCTGTCTTTCGGAGCATCAAAAGCACATTGTTGCTCTGTGCCCCACACAAAGGGAGTTTGCTTCCTTGTTAGCCTGTGAAGTGGTTCAGCAATGCTTGCTAAATTGGGGATGAACCTGGCACTAAAGTTCACTAATCCCAGAAAACTTCGTACCCCCTCTGCATTTTGAGGCTCTCTTGCGTCAATGACTGCTTCCACACGCGACTCTGTTGGCCCAATCCCTTGGTTGGACAATAAATGTCCCATCAAAGTCAGTTTTGACATGCTGAACGTACACTTGTCCATGTTCAAAGTAAGCCCCTTTTCTTGAATACGTTCGAAGGTCTTCCTTAACCTGACATCATGCTCTTTAACAGTACGGCCATGAATAATGATGTCGTCATGAATGTTGTAAGCACCTTCACACCCCTCTAATACTTGTTGGATAGTATGTTGGTAAGGTTCTGGTACAGAACTGATACCAAACATCAGGCGTTTATACCTGAACAGCCCCTTGTGGGTGATAAATGTGGTGATATTTCTGGACTGTTCTTCTAATTCAATCTGATGAAAGCCCCATCTTAGATCGAGCTTGCTGAATACCGTGCTCCCATTGAGTTGGTACAAAACATCATCAACTGTGGGTATGGTGTGTTGCTCCCTTACTGTGGCCTGGTTAGCTCTTCTCATATCTACACAGAGCCTAATGTCTCCAGAAGGCTTAGGGACTGCGACAACAGGGCTCACCCAAGGGGTTGGCCCCACAACTGGCTCAATGATGTCATGGCTCACAAGTTCTTCTAGTTTCTGCTCAATTTTCTCCCTTAATCCAAATGGTGAGGGTCTCAACTTTTAGGCAATGGGCTGGACTGATTCATCAACATGAAGTTTGGCCTTAAAGTCTCTGAGTTTTCCAACTCCAACAAAAATCCCTTCAAATTCCTTCAGCAAATTCTCCTCACTGACAGAGTTTATCTCGATTTTCAATGTTGCCAACAGTTCAGAGGTCTGTCGGCTGAGTATTGGCCTTGCCTTCTCTTCCACAACAACGAAACGTGCTGCACATTGTCTATCTTTATATCACAATTCAGCTTCAAACTCACCGGCAGTGTTGAGTGGTTCCTCCGAGCCATAAGAGTACAATTTCTTGTTTGATTTCCATGACTTACACTTGATTTTCTTCATTTTAAGCACCTCCCACATCTCCCTGTCAATGACATTGCAAGTGGATCCTGAATCAACAAGCACGCCCTTCAGTTGTACTCCTCCAAGTTCAATGGCTACTGTTGGTATGTTTCTGGCACCTAATTGAACTGTAAATGCAAAGTCGTCGTCTTCGGTCACGTGACGAACGTTTCCTTTCTTGGTTTTATCTTCGCCCTTGGTCCTGCAAAACTTTGTGAGATGTCCAGTCCTCTTACATTTTTTGCACGTAACAGATCTGGCCTTGTATTCCGGGTCTCGTGCAAAGTGGCCTTCCCACCCACATCGGTAGCAATTTGCTCTCTTCCTTGTGCCCTAATCAGCTTGTTTATCCTCCAATGCGTGTACATTGTCACCCTTGGAATCATTCTCTATCAATCTTGCTTGACTTTCAGCCGCTTCGAATTCCGTTGATCTTGCAATCTCTCGCGCCTTTTGGAGTGTAAGCATTCCGCTTGCTTCCAGCAATTTCTTGCGAAGGTTGTGTGACCTGCATTTGTCGATCAACTGATCACGGATATGTTCCTCCTTGGCTTCTCCAAATTCGCAGTTCTCCGACTGCTGAAACAATCTCAGCACGAATTGATCCGCTGTTTCTGACTCTTCCTGTTTTGCTTGAGGAAACTGGTGCCTTTCAAAGGGAATGTTAACCTGATGTGCAAAATGTGCATCTAGCGACCTCATGGCTTTTGCGTACCCGGAGTCGTTTTCTGGAACCGGTCCTGGGTCAGTCAGGGTGTCGAAAATATCCTGTATGTCTTGCCCAGCGAAGTGAAGGAGCAGTGCCTTTCTCTGGGAATCCTCTTTGACGCCTTTAGCTTCAAAGGAGAACTCGACGGAACGTTTCCAACGCCGCCATCTTGGACCAACGCTAGTTGGGTTGCCTTTGCAGTCGAACGGACTGATGTTTCCAAATTCAATGTTTACCGCCATTTTCGATACTTTTCCTCTAGGAGACTATTGACGATTGGTTTTCACACTCATCGCCAGTTGTAATACTCTTTGTTCGCATTCAAGCCGCATTGAAGACAGTATAACCTTGCCTTTCCGTTTTCACGCACACGTGCTTCACAACAACAAGACCTATCCCATAATACTTGTTACAGGCAGCCCAGCAGACACTACAACAATGATAAGCTTCTTATTCAGGCTTTCTAGTAGTAAATTTAGCTTAATTTGTATCTTTTTACAGTACTAGAAGGAAATAAGAAAACCTACTGAAAGATAGTTACTCTGAGCTCTGACAAGCTGCTGTATTCTTCAGAATTTACTCAGATTAAATGAAAGCCATATTCATGAAGGCATATTAGAAAAAAAGAATAATTATTGATGTTTCCCATTCTACTTAATTTCCTTTCCTTTCTAACGACATTAGAAAATTGGGCGCTTAACATATGTTGTAGGTCAATTTGTTTCTAACTAGGTTAGTTTGAACTCAACCTAGTTCAGTTTGCTAATGTCTGTGTCTGGGTTTTTTTTTTTTTGGTTTTGTCGAGATGTTTAAAAGTTGCTAATAATTGCATGGATTGTCACTGTCTATGTACTTTGTAATAATAAAAGGACAATATAATGATAAATCGAAGAAACACTTGATATACTTTGAATTTTTGGAAGAAAAAAAGCTTAATTTTAACAAGAGGACTTGATTGTCCGGGAAAACATAAAAGAAAGAAAAACAACAAAATTGTTATATTTATCCTTAGTGAGCCTCACTTGTACTCTGGTGGATCTCTCGGGAGTAAGTGACAAGACAAGACAACTGACATTCAGGAGGTTAGTGGGCGAGTTTGATTGGAATAACAACATTGCCTTGGCTCGAAGCCTGTGTGGCCTTTCACGCGTATCGCGACCGGGCCGCGAGGAAAGAATAGGGAGAAACGCCACACAAAATTTCTGTTTTTGTTCTCTTCCCATATTCTTTGCAGCTCGGATATGCTGAGTTAGGCTAATGACTTGGTGACAACTTACTAGGCGGAAATAGTTGTAAAATAAGACGGTTTACCATTCAGTTTGGCTAGTTCAGGGTTATCCCTTGTGAACCGCAGTTTCTCCATAGCCGCCTTGCTGAAACCAAAATGAAACAACAGCTTTTTTTTTTTTCATATTATATAATCTTGTTGGTAAGATTACGGTCACTAAAAACCAGGTAGATTCCGCTTGATGGGTAGAATTTCATCAGGTATAGCTGGCATGTCTTGGAAAGAAAGCACGATTAGTATCAGTTTATCAAGCAGGTGAATTTGAACTTACAACCTCACTTGTTAAAACATATCGGTGGATTATACTTTACTTCATCATAAGACAAACCTTAGAGCTAAACCCAGTCTGTTAGTAAACTAGACGCTCTAAGAGCGTTTACTCGGGCTTTGTTACGAGTACGCGTATTGGACACAGTAAAAACAAATAAAAGAATCAGGATATTTTAACACAAGAGTTCTGCTTAGATATTTAGTATTCATTATTTGCTTTGTTGAGTATCCTCCTAATCCAGTCGCAAGTTGTGAGTTTAAGCCATTTTGGTTCAAGAATCAAGAACAGCTGTCTACGCATTTCTGGAGAACTTGTTTGCAAAGAATTTTCCGGGTCTCTTTACAACGGCCGTCAATAAAACCAAGAACATGGAACATTCCGGAACATCCCAGAACATTGAATAATTATAATAATTATGGGGAAAATGTGTAAAATTAATTTTTCAAAAATTAAACTAAACAAAAATGAACTGGTATCAGCTCGGAAAATAAAAAGCAAAACAAAAGCATTATAAAACAAAACAAAAAAAGAAAAAAAATAAAGAAAAATGAAAATGACTGCATTGAGTGACGACTTGCAACTTAGAAGACCAATCCACTCCTTCCAGTCGTTCGCCATCAGTTTAATCCTGTGGCTGTCCCTTATTCCCAGATTTCGCTGTGCATAGAAAACCAAGGTGGTGGCGTTCGAACTCTTTAATCAGACCGATAAATATGGGTACACGAGTGTGATTTCTTTATTCAATTCATTACGTCAATTCAAAGATATGCGTATTTTTTCTCAAGAAATAGTTTCTCTATGAGATAGAAATAGAAACTCTTCGGCATTGATGGAGTTTCTTGTGTAAACTAGTTCGGACTGCTCAAGCTGTGATGACAGAGTAAACAAATACAAACACAAAATTTACAGGGTCGCTGGTCAAAACTTTATTGTCTCAAAAAATATTTGTTACAAGTGTTGGCGATCTGAAATTGAATTCAAAGTGTCGCCAACAGTTCAAATGCCTCTCCTGGAAAATGTTTTCTCTGGTACAAGTCAATTCTTAATTAATTAAAAACACTTTTACCGTGGGCTATAATCTATTCATCGCTAGTTCAACTTGACGTGCAGATCGTTATCTGACATTCGATCAAACTTAGGGTGCGTTTCTTTAAGAAAATCCAAGATTGGATTCTTAAATCCGAAGGAATCTGAAAACGGATTTTGCGTCTCTTTACTAAACAGATCAAACCAAGATCACTCGGATCATGGTGCGTCAAAGGAACCGAAGAATCCACTCCCAGTACCAAAGTAGACCAAACATGCGAAGTATGCGCGTGAATGCACTGCTCTAATATTTGACCGGAAAGGCTGAGTCTGCACTTGGTGGGTCATAGTGCCAGGCGTTCCTAGCGGAGAGCGCGAAACTGGGGATGATAATTGCAACACGAAGACGGAACAGTAGTGACAAAACTATGGCTACTGACTTAACAAGCAACTGTATGATGCTCCTACGAACACCTCAGATGTTGAAGAAATCGGGGTTCAACAAGGGAAAACGCGATGAATTACCTGGCATTCATCGTCCGAATCGTCCACGTTTGTGCTGTAAAGCCCCGTAACGCAATTGGCCGAAAAGAAGAGGAGCCTGCACTCATTGAACGCTCCCAACCCCCCAAAATATCTTTTCATATTTTGAACTGATACCAGTTTATTTTTATTTATTTTATTTTCGAAAATTTAATTTTACATATTTTTCTCATAATTATCATAATTATTCGATGTTCCGGGATGTTCCATGTTCCTGGTTTTACCGACGGCCCTTTACAACTTGTGGCGATGACATTGTACATCCTGGCAGAAATTGTACGAAGTTCGTTTACTGGTCGTGACGATCCGAGTGAATTGTGCAGCTGAACATCTTTGCCTTGTTGCGATCTTAAACCCTTTTCAAGAGTCATATCTCCTTTGGAGAGCGAATAATCTCTTTCGAGAGAGCCAAAACGAATATCATGATAAACTCCGTTGCGGAAACAACAGTTTACGACAAGGTGTCAAATTACATAGCACATAATTTGCATAAACTTTCAAGTGGCGTTTTTTGCGAATAACTTCCGAGAATTTACGACCTTTAACACAGTATGTGAAGAAATATTCAAGCTACATATTTTTTATTGAATCAAGGCTGGAGTTTTTTTGAAGAGGAACTCATTTATAAGGGAAGATGCGGCATTCTGCTTTGCTGCTTATTTGGTTTC